CAAAGGTCAAGGTCATTTTTAAATTTGGATTTTGGCTTAATTTCACCTCTTTTCAAACACGATATAAGATAGGACAACATATTTTTACTTAATTGTAAGTTGTGACATGTTGTAACACATACATATCGGTTTAAAGGGTACGCTTACATCAAATTAGAGTTTTCTCCCCTCTTTTATTTAAAAATATGCATATGGTGATATAACTCATGAACCAAATATAATTAAGTCCTAGGGTCTTTTGATTTTAGGTCCTTGGTTGATGACCTTGAAATTGAGCTCAAGGTCATAGGTTAAATTGACGTTCTAGATTTTGACCTTTGCTGTTACCTCATATGTATACATGATAAATCCATGGGACTTTTTGCATTAGGTTTCAAATCTTTAACCTTATAAAAGCCAACCGGAAGTGACCTTGTGTAAACCGGGAGTAGCTTTTTTTGTACTTAATTAATGTAAAAGTTTATAGAACCAGATATTTTTTGGTATCAGTGTCAATTAAACGTTTGAATAATACCGGAAGTATCATTTTTCAAACCGAAAGTAACAAATTATCTCCCTTATTTAAAAAGTATTGTATAGAAACCATATATTTTTGGAATCAGCGTACAATAAGCTATCATTTGAAGCTGGAAATGACATTTTAAAACGAATTTTACTATTTTAATATTAAAATACATGTTTTTTTTTGTGGAAAGACCTTCAATTGTTCTTTGAATAATTGGTTTTTAATTTTTGGTGGGGTTCGTGTTGTTTAGTCTTTAGTTTTCTATGTGGTGTTTTGTGTACTTTTGTTTGTCTGTTTGTCTTTTTCTGTTGTCAGATTATTTTCGAACGTGTCAGAAAGGTCCATAAAATCATCATGGTCTTTTTGTCAATCCTCATTTTTATGTTTTCTTGCCTTTGTCTTAGTAACAAAATTAGCTGGATACAGTTCAGCATCAACTTCAGGTCATTTAACATCCATCATTGTTTCATTGGTATTCATTGCTTCAGCAATCATAGCTAGATCATTACCTAGCAACAGTGAAACATCCTTAACAGGAAGATTAGGACGAAAACTCATGGAAATGGTCCAGTTATTAAATCCCACTTCAAATAAATACGATGAAGTAGAACATAAATTCAACTTAACTCCACATCCTGTAATAAAACGGAGGAAACGACAGAAATCTCCTCAAATGAACACACCTTCTAAAACAAAAATGTGTGAGACTCTCCAGTGTCATGTTATTTATTTAAAACAACAGAAACAAACCAATCCGACATAAAGAGTTAATCCTTCATGTAATAACAAAAACTGGACTTATAAGACTTATTAAGGATATTGTAATTTATTGGCAACAAGTGGTGTCGTATAAGCACTGGACTTTGGTTTACTATCTTTTTCATTGTTTCATTTAAGTCTAAAACGTGGGGGTGGCGTTGTGAAAGCATAAAAATATAGTATATGTCAAAACACATAGTTAACAGCGCCTGGTGATGTTTCATAGACCGGTTTCGGTCCATAAGGAACCTTCATCAGGTAGTAATACACAGTTAGGAAAAGAATTTAAATTGACACTCATAATTTGTAACCACCATCTTTTCCTTCCTTTCTAACAAATAAGGCTTTATATTTATGTATATCTATACAAAAGAGCAAATTCAAACGATTGGATTTCCAATAGTTATAATGGTGAAATATTATCTCTTTCTGGTGTAACCATGGTAACAATCTGCATTTATTTGATACAAAATATTGCAAAAAGGGGGTTGAAAATGTCACAAAAGCCTCAAAAATTTAGTCAAAAGGAGAATTTCAATCCATAAGGGTGATACCTTTCATGAAACCATAGACATTTATCTATCAAGAAGTCCAAAAAAATCATATGCATTTCTGCTCGTTTTCCATAAAATTGAATTGAAAAGATCGATGGTCAAAATCTTTGTTGAAAATACTAAATAATTTCTGGACCTATGGGCGGTACGGATGTGAATATACGGACTGTAAAACAGCAAAATGGCCTATAAAACATGATAAAACAATCTAAATAAAATTTAGAATGGAAATGGGGAATGTGTCAAAGAGACAACAACACGACCATAGAGCAGACAATGTTCATATAAACCCACTTGGCAGTCTGTATTATTCTTCAACTATCTAAATATCAATTTTATTGTACAAAAGATTTCAAATTTAAAAAATTCACCAATGCCAAAATGCGAAACTTAACTTCTAACTGTGTATTGCTACCTCAGAGGCAGAATTATGGATTAGTGTTAGTTCCATATTTATATAGATACGGTATCCATGGTAACCAGCGGATCAAAGTGATCCGGCAGTTCGTTTAACCGGTGGTCCAGAGGTAATAGTCGGTTCAAATTTAACCGGTGGTTCAGTTCCCAGAGGGATTATCCTTGGTTAAAGTAAACTTTATGAAGCTAATGTACATATAGTTAACATTTTGACATGTTACGATAAAAATTTGGGCATGTTACGGTAAACATTTTGACATGTTACGGTAAACCTTTTGGCATGTTACGCCAAACATTTAGACATGTTACAGTAAATATTTTTACATGATACGGTAGACATTTAACCTGATAATATAACTCGAGTTTGGGCTTTGAGCATTGGGTATAGGGAGTTATAATTTTAATTGGAGTACATGGTAGTCATTGAGTCTTGATCTGAGGCTTATGATACGCCTAAATATCAAGTCTCGAAATAGTTTTTCATGGTAGTCATGCAGTCTTGATCTTTTGCTAATGATACACCTAAATATCAAGTCTTGAAAAAACTATTTACCCCCTCCCCCGAAATTTGGTTGGGGGGGATTCTTATTAAAGAAAGCGTTATTTAAGCTTTTAATACTCCGTGTTTAGGTGAAGGGTAGAAGAATATTAATCATCAGCGTTAAAGAATTTTCAACATCTTAAGTTTGTAAGGCAGGTATTACATATATACATAAATTTCAGGTAATAGCTAGGCTGACGCTTAGAAATCTTATGTCAGTGAAAAATTAGATAAGTAATATTGTAATGGTGAACTGACATAAGAGGTCTCTAAACACATTAGCTCCTAATGGAGATTTCGTTAGTAGAAGCCATATGAATTATGTGTATCAGCGGAGAAAAATGTAAAAGAATAAACATATCACATCATCTTGTTGTTATTTAAATACTATATATACAAATGTAGACGTAAGAACATATTGCCCACAAAATATGGTGGGATAGAATATTTAAAATATTGGATTAATATAAAAAAAAATACTCCGTATGTTTCTTAACCCCTGGATAAAAAATTAAAATGGATCAGTTATGGCAATTGATAGAAGCAGCTTTAAACTAATATAATTAACAAAATCAATTGTAATATTTACATCTTACTATACCATTATGACTTGGTCGATCTTAAAAGTGTAAATTGTTTTTTTATAATTTGTGTCTAATACTGTAGTATGTACTTTCACATGTTTCAGCATGAAAAATACAAAAAAAAAATCAAAAAAATACTCTTGATTTTGATGTTATTTAACTACATTAATTCCTCATTCTTTAATTTATCCAACCCTTCCAGGTCTGGTGTTTTGCCATTTTGTTGAATTGTGTTGGATAATTATAAATCAATGCAATATCTGAAATCTTTTTATATTGAGAAAATTTGATCTAATATTTACATTTTCCCGGACGAGCCCCCAATTTCTGTTACTGCCAGAAATCACATTTTAATTGTAGCCATCAAAAGACAAAAAAAAACAATAATAAATTCAACAAGAATTATAATTAATTTTGCAAGGAATATTACCAAAACTGAAATGTCAACTTAACTATTTGATTATCTGAATGTCAGATCGTAGTATTTTCTTTGTCCGGATTTCTTAACTGTTGCTGAATTTGAACGAAGTATTATGGCCAATAAAATCACAAAATAGTATGAAGATGTAGAATTTAGAAATAAACATTTCCAGAGATCCTTTGAGAATACTTGCATATGTCTTTCCAAGTTTAATATTGATGTTTGTATATATAGTTACCACGGAAAGGTATCGAACACTGTAGAAGTTTTAATTACGCATCGAAGATAATGATAAGTCTGGAATTATAATAGTATATTATTAGTAAGTCAAATAGAAAATTCTAATAATTCCATCAGTATTTATAATTGTTCCAGTGATTTCATTGTTCATATGCGTATTTGTTCTCAAATGAAAAATATACCAGGTACTAGGATCTTCTCAGTGAAAGTCTTGTATATTTCCCCAAAATGTTTATCGAAAGGTATTAAGACCTGATAGACAATTCTTCAGTGTCGACTTCACAAATATTACAGGATGGTCTTGCATTGTAGATACTTGGTGCTGACGTTGTGTATCAGCTTATTAACTATTGCAGCTTTTTTCTGTACAATAACATCCATTGTGGTCGCATGAGTTTTGACATGGCTTGTACTTAAATATGTTCTTAAAAATGTTTCATTTTGTGCGTTGTAGAAATCATTAACGGAATTCGATCAATGGTTACCTCCCCTGTCACTCGATTCAAAAGTGAAATCATGCAAACTCTTTAATTTACTTTTTTATTTTTTTTTTTTTGGAAATATGACAATTAGATAAAAAGTTGTTCATGTGGTTGATGTATTCGGGCGTTTGTTCATACCACAAAAGAGACCATTTCAACTTTCAAATTAATATATTTAGTGTTTGGACTGCAATGTTTTTCCACAAGTTTGTTATGATGGGTAAATAGCAGAAAAGATTTAATAAATTATGAGTTGTTCGTATAAACCTAACGAATTTATTGAACTTAGTGTTATATTAACACAATAGTGCATTTTACAGGGCTACAAATACATAGACTAGTAAAAGTATGTTAATTCAATTATGATATTGCAAAGTATTAACGTTGTGTCTGATATTGTTAGGTTCATGTCCACCAGTTTCTAACCAACAGATGTAGCTTGGTCATTTTGTGGTACATGTCTGTATAAGAGGTGATATTTTAACAAAATAACTTACCTGAGCAAGCATCCACGTGTTGTTCGATATTCACTTTTTTATCCACATAACTGCATGATACGTTGACATTGCCTCTACACAAATTGGTATTGTATTTGACTTTTATTCGTGTATCATAGAATATTGAAGTGTTTTTATCATTGATGATCACACTGTCCAAAATGTGTTCTCCCTGAAAAAGAAATATAGCGAGTTAATCAAGACATGTGTGCATGTTTTTCGCTAAAACAAGATAAAGTTTGTTTTTTTCCTGTACAATATTTGTTTTTGTGTATTGTTTTGTCTCTTTGCATGACTTGCCTGTATTTTATGATAATGTTTTATATTTGTTATATATATCCGTGGTCTTTGAAAAAATGTATGCAGTCATTAAATTTATAAGTTCAAATGCAAACTATATAGATATAAGAAGGTGTGGTATGAGTGCCAATGAGACAACTCTCCATCCAAGTCAAAATTAATAAAAGTAAATCATTATAGGTCAAAGTACTGTCTTCAACACGGAGCCTTGGCTCACACCGAACAGCAAGCTATAAAGGGCCCCAAAAATTACTAGTGTAAAACCATTCAAACGGGAAAACCAACGGTCTAATCTATATAAAAAACGAGATACCTAGTTTTTAGGTTATAGATTATTGCATTGCGAAACATGTTTGAGTCAAAGATCACGACAGGTGATGTTGCAATACTTTTACTCTGAAAATCGATCGAGAAGTGGTTTGGCGTCTTTAGAAACTTGCATAATGATTTCATCAACGCAAAACAAATACTTTAGATAAAAGAATGTGTATAAAGATATTAGAATATTATACCTCAAATAGTATCGTGCAGACAGGTTTAGGATATCCATTATAAATCATCACTAGTCCAACCAATATTTTACCCACTAAATTGAAATTATACTCAACATCTTTTTCTGTGGGTTTTGCTAAAATAGATAAAATAGATAAAAATATCTGCCTGAGTAAAGTAATAATTATAAATATCTAGTTATCTTTTAGTATGTTTACATTGCTTACTATGTCGACAAAACCTCGCTCTGTCCGGAGTTTTCTCAATTTAGTTCGTTGGACATTGGTAAACAACTATTATAGAATAGGAAGATGTGGTAAGATACTTTTCAATCAAACTATATTGTAAGAATATGTGTCTCAATTCCTTCCTATTCGGGAATATAATATTATATTAATTCTTCTGCAACATCATCGAGCCTTGAGCAATCTTGAGAAACCATTCTATTTTTCACGTAAATCTGACTTCCAATACCATCTTTTATTTCAAGACGTGTATCGTAAAAGAATAATAAATCAGAATGCTAGTCAGCATCCCTATATGACGACAAATATTCTAGCTGTGGTTGATTTGATCATTTCGGTGAAGATTAATGGTTTAATGTGAAACTTTTGCATAACATTATGTAGTTTTTTTCCACAATAAAACGGTAAACTACATTGTCTGCATATAATATGTTCTATTTTGGTTTGTCATGTTTCAGCTCTAGTTTTTTGTTGTACAATGTTTTGAAATGGCAATGAAACATTAATTACGTCGTTCATCTATTCACCATACTATATCGATACTATTTTATGTAATTACAACAGTTTTAAGGCAAAGTCGTGTTAATGTGTAAAACATAAGTTTCACGATAATATGCTGGTTATGTTCACAATGTCTCGGAGTCATGTGTTTTATTCACGAAAATGTCAAAAATCATTTGTGTAGTCTTTGTTTATATATTTGTAACAAACCAGTAATATGATCTGGTTGCCTATAATTATCCGCTTCATTTGCACTTTGATGAATAGTTGTCTCATTGACAATCATACCACCTCTTATTGTTATGCACATCACATCTTGTGTTACTTACAAATGAAATTTTTGTCGTTGAGCAAAAGTTCATCAGCGTAAGATTGGAATCCGAAGTCACATCTGTAAACTCGATTTATGTCTGTTGAATCAAACTGTTTGATTGTAAGATTGTATATCATTGTTTTTTCGATATATTTGACAGTTATTCCATACTTTTGTCTGTTTGCAGGAATTTTATTGTATGCAATTGCTTCACCATTTGGTATTCTAACCCATGCCATAGGTGCAGAAGTGTCCTCTGTCTTAATTGTGCACTCAAGATCAACATTTCCCCCAAAGTATACAGGTTTAGTCATTAGTTTCCACTGAATCAGTTCTGTTTCATATAAAATTATTCCTTCAATAGTACAATTGATTTTATTGCACCATATGTGTGTATAATCTAAATTATTTTCATTAATTTCAAGTCAGTTATTGGAGAATTATGCATGTGCATGTATGATTAAAACATATCTATATATGTAGAACAATCTGACAAGTAACAGTCTCATTTTATTCATATACAGATTTGAACAGCAATATACTACTGTTGCCTTTATTTATATATGATTTCTCTGTCCTGAGTGTTCTTGCATTTATTTGTACTGTATTCCTGTCATGTAATGTCATTTTAGCGGTATATTTAACATTGCCACAAAGCGCGAGGTTTGGCTAGCCACAAAACCAGGTCCAACCCACCATTTTTTCTTAAAATGTGCTGTCCAATGTCAGGAACATGGCAGTTGTTATATAAACATTCGTTTCTATGTATGTTGTCGCCTGTTTTTTGTTTTACTTCATAATCAGTGTTTCAGTTGTTTCGTTGTTTTCCTCTTATAGTTGATGTTGTTCCCTCGGTTTTAGTTTGTAACCGGATTTTTGTTATGACTTTTGAATAGCGGTATACTACTGTTGCCTTTATTTATCGGCAGTTTGTACATTTTGCCGTTGATCTTAATGTCTAACATTTTTAAAATCATGGACAAGACTTGAAACTTGAAAATATAAGTCAATGACGCCATGTACCAGTGCAGCAACGTCAAAAGAACTTATCATAACGACCGATAAGCTATTTTTTCGTGTTCAAGTAACAACAATATTTCAAATAATTTCTCCGGGTCTGCTATTTATAGCGGAAGCAAAACTTTCGTCAATCTTTAAACATAAACGATACCTTTACCAACATATTGGTATAATGAACCTTCGCATGAACATGCACAAATACATACGTCAACAAGGTCACTTGAAATGCGACAATCTACCGACCACTTATATTTATTGTTAAGCAAAGTATATAGGAAATTGTGTTTTATCTATATTAATATTAAACGTATTTTTCGTCTTTCATACTATTTATATTGCCTTACTTACGAGGTTTGGTTGTGTTGTTGGCTCTCGCTTCTTGCAATAATACCATACAAAGAATCAATAGAAATGTCGTAGATTTAAATACGGGTCTGTAAAATATAACCTACCAATACAGTTTGTAATACATTTCAGTTTTGATGGGATTCGTGTTGCTTAGTCTTTATTTTTCTATGTTGTGTTTTTTGTACTATTGTTTTTCTATTTGTTTTTTTCTTTTCTATCCATGCCATTGTCAGTTTATTTTCGATTTATGAGTTTGAATGTCCCTTTGGTTTCTTTCGCCCTTCTTTTCAGGCATTATACACAATACACACACACTAAAAAGAAAGTGTGTATACAATTTATATACATAGTCAAATGCGTTTTGTTGAAAGATACGTTTTCACTTTTTGGTCTTTTGGAAAATGTTGTTTATGCTGTATTTAGACCCCTCTACCAAGAAATTTGTTTTGCATGCACACGTATAAAAATTGCGGTTTTTATCCAACGAAAGCATAGGTTTGGACGTTGTTTTCAATTTAGACTTGTTTATATTTTTTCGTTTAGGCTTGTATTATATTTTCCTTCGGGTTTATATGATTCGTTCATCCTATTTCGACTCTTCAAAATTCAAGAGTCTATCCAAAATTGAGGTTAATCATATGGCCTTCTAAATACTGTTTAGATTCCTAACATCACTGAAGAGACATTAATTGTCGAAATCCGGATATGGTGTACAAATTTTTGCACCTCATGTTTGCGGCATACCATCTTTTCCGCAAGTTTATTGTTTTCTGTTTGGTATTAAATTAATAATTAGATCCATTTTATTTCGTCTTGTGATACGTTTATTTGGCAATCGCCATAGCAGTCAGCAGGGTTTAAGAACATCAGTTGTTCGACCTGTAAGTTAAATGCGGTTTGTTGAAATATACTTTTTTACTTTTTCGGTCTTTTGGAAAATGTTGTTTGTGCTGTATTTAGATCCCTCTACCAAGAAATTTGTTTTGCATGCACACGTATAAAAATTGCAGTATTTATCCAACGTAATCATAGGTTTGAACGTTGTTTTCAATTAAGACTTATTTATATACATTGTATATACATCTATTACAAAATTTATTTGCATTGCAAGAATACGGATGATAAGTTAATACTTTTTTGTGATGTTTCAAGATATACTGATACTGCCTTATTACCCAACCAATAGACCATATTTCAGTGAATGCTTTGTGAAAGTTTGCTAATTAAGCAAGGTGGTCTGATTCATGTCTTTACATTAGAGGTTGCACTTTGTAAATACAGATGTTTTACAAACCACGCCTTTTTGGGGAGATATATAATATTCATAGATATTTTTGTTTACCTGTTGGTTTCCAGATATGATATCTATGTTTCATTTCGTAGAGACATAACTTGGGAATGTTACCAGTATAAATTCACAAAGCATAGCGGTCAAATTGAAATCTGTGGAAGATCCAAAGTGAAGGGAAGGGAAGTACATAATTTTAATATAAGTTTAAACTCTTAGAAGTGTGAAGCATATTAACGTTTAAAATATTACGCACAGTAATATATTTGAACCTTTGAAAAAAAAAGTAGTTTATATGAGCTTTTCATTCTAGGCTATATTTTTTTATAGTAAAAGTGATACAGTTGTAGCCATAAAGGGAGTTCCTATTGGAAATTGCATTGTCTATATTTACAGAATTGCAACCTTCATAAACATTGACGCAGATGAACATGTACGAACTATTACTATAAATTATGACAACGTGGTGATTCTAACTTTCTAATGTTCAATTTGTTTTGAAACATTTTAAAGCATTATATACCAATATCAATAACCTGTCATAATTTTTCAGTATCATTTAGCTACATTCAAGTAAGAAACTCACCGACCGTATAAGGCCCACTTGGGCAGTCAATGTCTTTAAAAACCCTTATCAACACAATACTTTGTTTATTAAGGCAACCTATTGTGCAAGCGCAGATAGTGCAATTGCCTCAACTTTTGAAAGCCGCATTATCGTAATTTATTATATATAAAGTTTTCTGTCAATTTATAATTTGAAATAAATTAATCAGATGAACAGCACACGTGTTATTTGACAACTGTAGTCATTCTGTTGTCATCTGTTTTAATTTGTTGTCTGCACCATCTAACCTACAACAGCATTGCTCCTGCTGCTTGTAAAAGCATTTATTGTTTTAATATGGGGTATATAATTATGTCAGAATTCAAATGAAGCAGACAAATTGCCTTAATATAGTTGAATTACTTGATTCCTAAAAGACAAATGCATGTATGCTGTGAACCCCCTAACACGAACACATACAAAATACACATACGCACAAACACAACAACAGAACACCAGAACCACCACTTTATTCCACTAAAAACCTGAAACTTATGTCAAATGCTTTAGTGAGAAATTATGATTGGAACCTATATAAAGTATTTGAATTTTTATGAAAAAGACAGGCCTCTGGTAGAGAGTTGTCTCATTGGCAATCATTCCACATCTTCTTTTTTATAAAACGTATATTCAAAATTAAAAAAGTCTAAAATACACAATTTATGAGCAACTCGATAGTATTTATCAGCTATGCGTGTGTATTTTAGTCTAGACGTCATCTATTAAGGTAAGGTTTCAAATGAAGTTCACATGAATACGGATTTAATAATAATCAGAAGCGATGTTTCCTTGCCTATTCTGACAAACTGAAACTAACTGGCTGCTAAAAGCGAATTATTATTTCAATATTCCATTTTCATTAATGATTGAAAAAAAAAATCATATTTTATGTTTTTACATATTTCGTAACTAACACCCCTTTAATAATGATTATCTAATACAAATACAGACACAGAGAAAAGTAGATATACGGGAAGACAAAATGTTACAAGTAAAGATTGTGCCGATCGAAATTGAAATAGTACTTTCAACGCCTAAGTTTACGCGTCACACATAGACTTATTGAGTGTTTGATTATGACTTTTAAGGGACCACAGGTAACATAGATTACACGATTGTTCGTGTAAGTGTACAAAAATCTTTGAAACGAATATTAGAGCTACTGTATGTTGACCTATCAAAATATATCAAAGCAAAGGGTGAAATTTGTTCAGGACCAGACCCCGGTTCTTCGTTACATTTGGATCGAAAAGATTCAACGACTCATTGGTAGGGTTATGCCCCTTTGAAAATTAACCGGTGTCGGTTGGCCATCAAAACTCAAAAACCGTAAGTCGTAGCCACCTAGGATCTTCACCAATGATCATCAATTCAAGTGACTTTCAAAATGCCTCAAGGTCAAATTTGTATGTTGACCTTGACCTTTGACCTTACACCTTGTTATGGGATCATCTCAAAAACCATTATACTTACAGAAGTTTTGAATAGTGGAAAATGTTTGGGTCATTAAGGCGCAACTTTTTTACATTTGACCAAAGAGATTTGACCTTTCTGTAAGGGGCATAACCCCTGTTTTTGGTTTCTGAAAAGACAAAATTAGATTTTAGTATATAACCAAAGGTCTTAGCCCCATGGGGTCAACAGCAATGACATAAGGGACCAATGACCTTGAGAAAGGTCACAAGGTCAAAGGTCAAGGTCATGTCCCAGAAAGCGAATTAAAGTGTTTTTAACCTTATATAAAGGATTTTTAGTGTGTTTTCAAGCTTTTTAAGGTTGACCTTGACCTTTGACCTTACAACTTTTTATTGGATATCTCAAAAACGATTATACTAACAAAAAGAGTAAATAGTGAAAAATAATTGGGACATAAAGGCGCAACTTTTTTACATTATGACCGAAGAGATTTGACCTATCCGTAAGGGGCATAACCCCTGTTAACTGTTTTAGAAAAGACAAAATAAGCTTTAACTCATGAACCAAAGGTCCTAGACTTATGGGGTCTTTTGTTATGACATCGTGGACCAATGACCTTGACAAAGTTCATAAGGTCAAAAGTCAAGGGCATGTCCCAAATTTTAATTTCGTCTGTAATTTGCAAAGCATTAAGATTTAATTTTATTTTTATTCTTTATGAATACTTGTAACTGAGATAACACTTGTTAAATTACTTTTGAAACACAAAAACACCCAAGAACAAACTGATATGAAACGCATTGAACCTACTTAATTTTTCTCAATCATGAAACATAATTTTCTCTTCAAAATAGACTTGCTATTCTCAAAACATTGATCTAAACTTTTAACCCACAGGATTTTAAATTTAAGATATCAGTACATTGAATCAAGGTACGTGTTGCTGTTCATGCAGAAGTTGTTCAGCATATTAAAAAAAACATAATGAGACAATTACACAAAAAGTCTAAGAGTAAACCAAAAAAAAAAAAAAAAAACAGATCATCAAAAAATGGTTCATACTAAGAATAAGTCGATAAAAGTGTTCAATTATAATACCAATGTTTCCACAGAATTTAGTGTAAACATATTTATTCGTCATCATTTAAAGGGTGTAATCATAGAAAAATACGCTTTAACAACAGGATTCGGACACTAGCTGTACGTAGCTTATATGCATCCGTTTCTTAGCTTTGAATTTCAAACTTCTGTTTCGGTGTGAGCCAAGGCTTCTGTTTCGGTGTGAGCTTGCTGTTCGGTGTGAGCCAAGGCTCCGTCTTGAAGACCGCACTTTGACCTATAATGGTTTACTTTAACAAGTTGTGACTTGGATGGAGAGTTGTCTCATTGGCACTCATACCACATCTTCTTATATGTATTCATAAACATAGCATGCAATGAAACTATCATATGGAACTGGAATACATAGATAATTACATTACAACGAAAGAACAGTAAGAAAGTAATAAAATAAGGAAAATCACGAAATTACAACATAAGAAGAGAAAAATAAGTACATTTAAAAACAACACAATTTTATTTTTGTAAACAAAAAATTGCAATTCTGCTGTCCACAATGTTCTTCACTAGTCGAGAATTCCAGTGAGGAGTCCCTGTTTGTTAATACCAGAAATCCAAGGTGATTTTCTGGTAGTCTTCATTATATTCAAATAACATTAGTCACAATTACAACTTAATTATATCATTATCATCAAATGTAATAAACATATATATGTCACCAAAAAAATAACATCTCCGAAAAAATTGATCATAATCCTCAGTGGTATTGCAATAATGACAGCTTAAAGTATTGCAATAATGACAGCTTAAAGTATTGCAATAATGACAGCTTAAAGTATTGCAAATATTCCACTCTTTAAATTAAGTTTTACAAGTTTTAATAAAGTGTAACAATTTACAACTTGTTTTCTTTCAAAAAATGATTAACAAATTTTGATATATTACACTTTGAACTTTTAATGTACTCAATGTCTAACCTTGTTTTTATTCGGTTAACACCAACAGGTATTTCAATCTCATTCTGAATTAATATGTTATAAATGTTCTTAGTGTCTACATTCGCTAGTTTTTCTATGTTATGATAATTCTTATTAAACGCTGAGATGATTTTTTTTCTTCCAATTGTTTTATAATCTTCTCCGATTTTTTTCATTTTTTATTTCAGCATTGAGGTTTTGACACAATTTTCACTTAAACCAAAACAAAAACACATTTCACTAGTCTGCTAGTCATTCCATTTTGGTGTTTTTACATTTATATTTGCAGTGTTTATGTTTCTCAACCAAATGCCTTCTGTTTTTGATCTGTTTAACTTCAGTGATATACATTGATGACCTTGGTGCGATATAATTGCGGGTATGATATCTACTGAATATTATGTGACCTTATTTCTGAGCAAATAAGAAGATTATCTATGCGAGTAGCTTCTTTTAATTTATTTTGTATATTGCTACATTGTTGATCTCTTCAAATCTCTAACAACTTATGTGTTTTGAATGACTTTTTGAAACTGTTGAACGGTTGTTGTTTTAATTGATTTGTGCTGTATTTTTTGCTGCTAATATACGATAGCGTATCATTTATATCTCTCCCAACTATGACCACCCATAAACTGTTTTTATGTACTGAATTCTTTATAAATCTGTCTCTAAATCAAAAGTGAAAAGACTTTCTCGTACAAAACAAATGTTACAATGTTGATACTTCATTCATATATGAAGCCTTTGTCTTTCATCTTTTGTACAAAGACCCTGACAATGGACATACATGTATATGTATTGGTACATCCATTGTTTGCCATAAATATCAAATTGAAAATGTAAAGTTTTCTAATACATTATATACACAACATTTGTTTACAACATGCACAGACAGTCTACATTAATAATGTTATACACATTGTACATAACTTTGTCAATATTTTGACATTTGTATCATCAAACAACCAATATATAAACTTATAATATTTGTAAGTAATCATTTAAATATGAACACTACAGCGTCTTTCCGTTTCTTCTGATATTATTTCATTATTTTTTCAGCCAGTAATTGATCATGACTCTCATTGTACTATGACCCAGTATCAGATAAGCAAACTGAAGAGGAATATCTAATCACCAGATGCTAATTAGTGAAACAGATTTAATAATGGCTTAATGATATACCGTATTCGAAGCACTAACCGGAAGTACTATTATTGGATTACATACGGATGATTAAAAAAAAAACGCGAATGAGTTTACGTTGTGTGTTATATTCTAAAAATAGAGTTGGACTTTTCTTGCTATACATTGCAATACTTATTCCAAAATTTCAAAGGAAGGAAATAGGAGTAGGGATCAGATCCGAAGTATTGTGAGTCTGAAAAAAGAAATGGTTATATAAATTTTCTTTTTGATTCAGTGCCATTTATTGCAAATAATTTGTATATACCATTTTATAAAACATAGAGGGTTTGTGTTTTCCCCCTCTTTATAAAAGTGATTCCCAACCTTTTTGCTGTTGCCTAAATTTGAATATTTTTTCACTTTATTTATCAAATATTGTGTTTGGTTAGGAGATCCCTCTATTAAAGAATTGGTCGAATAAATGACAAATACATTTTTGTCTTTAGTGGACCTGTTGAGGATAAAACACATCTTCCAAAGGATATTCATCATAGTGTATGCTCGTTTAGCTATATATTCAATGTGATTATTCCACAACCCATTATTTAGAAAAAAAATCCCTAAATAATTATGTTTACCAACTTCTTGAAGATCATTGCCATTCATTTTTAAGATTAGATGACTAGGTTTTATGGATTTTCTTGAAATCATCTTTGATTTTGATTTTCGGTAAATCAAATATTACAATCCACTGAATGTATTCGGCATTTCAGCAGCAATTCTAGGCGTTTCTGTTGGTAAATAAATACTTTTGTCGTCTGCAAATAGTTTGATAGTTGTTTAATAGCAGTTATCATGTTTTACATAAAGATTAGAAAAAGTAGCGGACCTAAAATTTAGCTCTGCGAGACATCTGCATTTATCTGTTTCGATGTTGAAATGCTCCAACCACTTGTTGAGTCCTTTTAATCCAATTTATAATATCCAGAAATTCAATTTTCAGTAAAGTCCGTTATGCCATATCCGATCAAAGGCTTTGATTTCACAATAAGACCACCCTAATTTCGTTGAATGCACACAGAGACAATGAGATGGTTTTTATCTCAACACAAATAGCTCTCTGGTTATGAAGAGACGTATATGGAGAAGATGGAAAATTCCGAAATAAATCAAAACTCATAAGTCCTATAGAGACAGACAAAAACCCTAGCAAATGTAAAACAAAAACGGCGAAAGGAAAAGCAACAGCCTGTAGAACACTACATAGATAAAAGGATGTGCAACATCAACTCTACCAAAAATCTAATATTGATTCAAGTGCATCGGAAAGGGTAAGCTGTTCCTACTACACCTGTACAGCACATCATGTTTTTAAATTCTACTGAATAAGAATCAATTGTTTGTATAGTATAAATCCACCACTTTCACAAAAGAAAATGCCTGTACCAAGTCAGGAATATGACAATTATTATCCATTCGTTTGATGTGTTTGAGCTTTTGATTTTGCCTTTTGAATGTTTGATTAGGGACTTTTCGAGTTATTCTTATGTAATACTTATCATTCATTTATGACATGCATTTGAAAGAAAATATGTAAAAGTTTTTTTAACTTAACGCATCATCATTCGAAACTCATCTTGTTCCTTTGAACTGACAGTGACCCAATCAGTACACAAATTTAAATATAAAATTATTAATATCTATATTAATCTTATGCAATGCGTTCCGAAAAAAAATGATGGTTTTAATTGTTAACGGAATGTTTACTTACACGACGACTACTGCAGAGTACCTTTTCATCAAATTTTCTCGAATTTGTATCTTCCTTATTATGGTTTTAATTTGGAGTTCAGCATCTTCGTTATCTTGAAGCTTGCTGTTTAACCGAAGAACGGCTACTTTTGACTTAGTGTATCTGCTGTTTTCATCATCGTTGATGTCTATGAAGTCAGTCAACACAAGAAACATTTTTCTGCGTGTAATACAATCCATGTTTCGCCTAATTCGTTCCACACAAATTTTGTCGATTTCAGTCATTGTTTTATATACTGTGTAGAAAACTGCAACATGCTGTTGACACAACTTTAGCTCTGTTTTAATCTTTTTACTTGTCTCTGATACATCTGCCATGTCTCTAATTCCAGGAGTATCTACTATGGTAATGGCCGTCCCGTATCGATTTGCATTTTGTAATCGTGAATGATGCTTGCATGCATCCATACCAGGTATTGAGCAATCGTTGTTTAATTTCCGAATGCCTAATATTGCTTTACACATTTCACTTTTCCCTCTGCCTGTTTGTCCAACACTTATAATTCGGATGCCATTATTATTCTCTATTGGAATAGCCATGCCTTCCCTAAAGTTTAAAACAAATAGTAGTGAAGATAATTATGTAATGACTAGATCTTGACTGACATGTAGTTATTGACATTGAGGATCTTTTGAGAAAAACACTTTACAACAAAATGAATGACGTCAGCTACATAATTTTAAGCGTTCCATGTATCAACATTCCAGCAGCGCAGAATACATCGATAGCTGTTTTCAAGGAGGCTATCAAACCAAGAGTTCTAAGTGGTTGAGTTAAAATTGTTCTTTCCGAAGTTTTAATGACGCCATCACGAGTTGGTTGACTGTTCTGGAATATTTGTTTCACTCTTTAAATCGAATGTGACTTGCCGAATAAGACTTATCACCGGGGTTGTATGTTCATGGGCAGCATCTGCTTACACTTTCGGAGCACCTGATACCACCCCTGATTTTTGGTGGGTTTGAGTTTCTCAATCTTTAGTATTCTATATTGTGTTTTAGTATTGTTTATCTTTTCGTCAATTTTCGTTTACATCCATGGCGTTGTCAGTTCACTGCATTCTATCTTATCCTGTAAAATACGTGGTTGTCGTTAGTTGATTTTTGTCATATGTTTTTTTTAATCGTTTTACCACAAATCAAGCTGTTGCTTTTCTTGTTTGATTCTTTTACAGTTTGTCTTGTTTAGGCTTTTAAAACTTCCTAAATGAGATAACTATCATGAAATGAACTATGACCGTTTTCCAAAGAGTTCTTTTCATTTTCCATCATCAAACGTTCTCAGTGCTAGATTTCATCAAACCTTTACAGTCTTTATTGTATATACCTTTAATATGTGTTATGAAAAATAGAATAATAGACACACAATTATCAGGGGTAACAAATGTTCCAATACGCTATGAAAATAAATAGTCTATTGTATTGCAGAATGTTGACACAAGGTCAATTGATAATTTTCCGATTATTATGAGTAATAAAGGCAAAGGTAGTATACCGCTGTGCAATAGCCATAATTCGATTAAGCAAAACAAATCCGGGAAACAAACTAAAATCGAGAGAAATACTTCAACTATCAGAGGACATACCGCTTATATGACAACATTAAGTGACATGAATACAGTACAATCAAACGCAAGAACACTCAGCAAAGAGAAATACATAAATACATAATATAATAATATATTATAGCATGTAAACCGCAGAATAACAACGGACACCTCCCATGAATATACGACAGCACACTAGGACACCACAAACGAAATATAAACTGTGTCTCACATGAATGGATCAACGTCACAAAAAGCGACGTATTGGTTGTGACGTTTATATTATCACAGGTAAATTTCTATTAAAGATAATGCATATTTTAAGGTTTTTCTTGAAGTATAACCCACTGAGGGGTATCAGGATTGGTAAAAAGAAAAACCTTAAAATATGCATTATTTGACTTATTTACCGTCAAGGTATAAAACCACTAAATCATAGCCCCATTGCTCTCTATGATAAATTCTGCAATTTCATGCATTAATAGCTACTATGTTTTAAGTTCAAATAAAGTGGCAGTCTTTTCATGTCAAAACTATACCTTATCCTGACTCTTACTGAAAAATTCAATATACCTTGAATTGCATATTAGGACTGGTTCCGAAAGCCTTCCTATTATAATTTTATATACTTTTTTTATTATTCAAAAGAAACTTTCAACAAGGGTTCTACAGTGGTCCCAAGTCCCAAAGCTTTCATTTGATACCAAAACTTCCCAAATATTACACCTATTGACAAAGATACAGCTATGCGTAGGAACTATTTTGTTTATAATATGTACTACTTTCTTGTATGTTCATTTCGTCCAAGCCCCAATTAGTAGTTCTATACCTAAAACAGCACCAAACGTGTTATACTGACTTCTGCTTTAATTAATATCCTTCTATGATCTATTTATAGCATAGAAAAACACATACAGATTTTGTCAAAACACTGTATCACTGAATTCAAGCTCAAATTGGACTAGTAGTAACATATGCGTTATTCAAAGCAAACTCCATATGGATACTAATAATGACAAATATGAGACTTTTTCAATTTTTACAAGTTCTTATTTGTTAATATCTACTCAAATAATAATGTTCTTACCTATATGTATTTTTATCAGAGATTGTTCTTTGAATATAAATATAGTGGTCCAAACAAAAAATATAATTAATAATTTTGCCCCCCCCCTTTTTCTACATGTTGAAAAGGGAGAGAGATCTGATAAAAACATACTTTTATGTGAAAACATGGATCAAAAATAGCAATTTATTTATCTCCAAGCTAGACAACTTGCTAAACTAATTATAAATTGCATTTCAAGTGAGATTTTGGAATTCCTATATAAGTATACATCAATTTCCTTTGAAATAAATGATACACTATGAAACCCAATGAAACATGAAGAATCACTAGATAATTTGACCAAAAGATATAGTTATACTATAAACCAGTCATAATATACATGTTTCAATGGTTTCAGTCTTAGATAATGCAAAAATTTTGTATGCATGCTAAATGACCAAAAAAGGCTGAAATACCCTATTGTAGCAATTTGAGGGCTGTAATTTGACACTAACATAATTGTTAGGTAAAAAAAAATAATGTAACATGGTTTCTAACAACAAATGTGACCAATTGTCATTGTAATGGGTATGATTTCTAAAATTTGAATTTCACATGCTTTTCAGAAATAGGTATACAACAACTAATTCATAGCCCCATTGCTTTCTATGATAAATTCTGCAATTGCAAGCATCAATGGCTACTTTGTCTTAAGTTCAAATAAAGTGGCAGTCATTTCATGTCAAACTATACCTTATCCTGGCTTGTGCTGAAAAATTCAACATACCTTTAATTGCATATTAAAGCGTACTGGTTCCCGGAAGTGTAATAGTACAAAAATAGGTACTTCTGATCTGAACAACAGGGCAAATGTGTCCTTCTATTATAATGTTATAAACTTTTTTATTTTTCAAAAAGGGTTCTACAGTTACCCCAAGTCCCCAAGCTTTCATTTGATACCAAAAACTACCCAAATATTTCACCTATTGACAAAGTTACAGCTATGCGTAGGAATTATTTTGTTTATAATATGTACTACTTTCTTGTATGTTCTTTCCGTCCGGACCCAAATTAGTAGTTCTATAACCCATCAAATATTATTTTCTGAAAAGATTTTCAGTATTTCCATCCTATTTTACCGACCGCAATAAGGTGGGGTATTCTTTTCTGGTGCGTTCAGGTTTTAATACGCCCTACGGCTCATTTATAATTTGTAATAAAAATCACTAATTAATCTAGATATAAATCATTTTCCAGTATGAATAGAAATATTACTGTAACTGCACGAAGCAAGATATACATGAATTGTTACGGTGTATGAAAAATGCATGTCACTTTGTAAGTAATTTATTGTATCAACTTTGTTTATGAAAGTCGAATGCCAAGTTTTTTTGTTTTTGTTTTCATGACATTTTTATCGAGGAAAAGCAGATTAATTTTTCAACATTTTTTTCAAACGAGCTACTCACAATAATTGTTTTCTTTTTTTTCTTTTGTCTGGCAATACAACTTTTTTAGATAAAATTCAGAATCAGGATTAAATATTATACCCCTCCCCAATTTTAAAGTACGTGGGAGTTATTCTATAGAAAATAAGAATATTGATGCTAAATGTTCGGTTATGAATAACTACGTTAAGCGCATAAGACAAAGATATCCTTACAGCGTACAGCACGATAGGCCACGATACTTATATCAACGGATCTGACATAGAAATTGATTTACAACCTCATAGTTTAGCATCCAATATTTGCATTGAGGTTGGAAGACCTTTATTTGTTTTCTGTGAATAGTCTGTTTCTATTAGGTCTTCCCACCTTTCTTTTTATTTTGTTCTGAATAATAATATTAGCTTTTTTCAACTTTACGTAAGAAGGCCTTTTTTATTATTATTTGGTACTTCCATTTTCGTGGGAAAGCCTTTCAGATTTGTTCCGATTACTTTTTTCTTCTGCTTCCACTGTTTATTCTTGGACAATGTTTTGTTTTCAATATTTGACATATGATATCGGACAGTTATTGCGCTTTTGTAACTTACCCTGTTTAACCGAGCTTTATTTTGTTAGAGTTATCTAGCTAAACAAAAATGTAAATCATGAACCGTAAGTGATAGAAAGCTAAGGAATTTTGATTTTAAATCCTTGGATCCGCCAAAACGAAAATTATTTCAAGGTCAGATTTCGATCATGTTCTTTGATTTAGACTTTCCTAGTGCCTGTATCTCCTCTGAAACTTTTTAAGATAGATATAAAAACAACAAGTGCACAATATTTTTTTAATTGCGATTTAGATATGTTACATTTAAATTTCATGTCAATTGCTTATGACTTCAATCTGGTACATATTTAACTTATGTGGTCTTGTTTGGTGACATATGACCTTGAAACATATCGACCGGAAATGTTGTTGAGTAAATCAATAATAGTTTTTTCGCTTCTTTCATGAAGAAAAACATAGAACCTATGTGTTTTTTTTTATAAATCGAAGTACACAAACCTATAATTTAAAAACAGAGACGACCTAACTCAAACTGGAACTAGCAAATTATTTCTCTTTTTTCAATATAAACACCAGAGAAGCTATCATATGATACCGGATGTGACATTTTTGTTAGCTGCGGGTCCCAAATTTCGACTTACTCATCCAATCAACTGGAAGAAAATACTCTCGGTACAGCAAGTACACCGAGAACGACGTAATCAAATCGCTTGAATTTTTCATCAACATATTTTTTAAGTTTGTTTGGTCGGTATTAAAACAGACAGTCGGTATTTATTGTGGCCGACTTTTTTTTGTTCTCATTTAAAGAAGAATTCATTGAAAGCCTTTCCAAGACAGACATAAAAATCATCTTCCGAGGTTTTTTGATTTCACTCTGAGATACATCGATGATCTCCCTATTTTGAAGGTATGCTTCGTGTGTTGATATTTCCCTCAATATTGACACAGCGTGATGACTTCAAATTGGAATCCATGACACAAATTATGATTGACTTTTTAAATAGTAAGCTTTCAATTCATAGCAGTAACATACCTCTGCTCCATCGTATGGCGTTTACATATCTCAATTGATACATTTAATAAAATTTTAATGTTTGATCAAACTATACGGCTGTCATTAACAGGGTTATTCCCCTAACACTAAACTGATCCAAATTATTATGCAGAAAAACCACTATCACCGACATTACGTAAATTTAACGGTCCACATAACGAATTGGTTGCTCGATATGATATGTTTGTATCTCAATTAGCTATTGGTTCAAATCTGAGATCTCTAGTTATCAAAATAGTCGTCTGATCTGTTATTCGACCGATTTTGTCCTATTTCCAATTGTGACATTTCGACCGATGTTGGATTCGCAAGCCGGTGTTGAACACAGAGCATGCGACACTTACCCTGTCGACGGACTGGTTACGGATATAACTCCTTTTCAAGTTCATTCGATTCCCTCGGATTATGTTTGTTACTTTTATTTGTCTTCTTAATCGATTTATTAAATTTAAACATCAGTAAGGTACCTTTTGCTTATATTTCCCAGTACACGGAGAGAGGACACAAACAGTCTGAAAAGCATTATGTTGTGCAAGCATAAAAGTGACGACAATTTGTAAAGAGTTTCAAAATACAAGAAAGGATATTCAAATTCATAAGTCGAAGACATGCTTACAAAATTTTGGTAAAAAACTATTAACGACGAATCGCGACTGTTATTTGCTATTGCTAATTGTTTGAAAAGGTACTGAACAGTATTAGATTGACTGCAAGCAAGTAGTCTAAAAGTACCCCCCCCCCCCCAAGAAATAAACCTCTTATCAAGACATACTGCTGATACTGTAAGACTGTTCAAAAGTGTTTTGATCACATTAATCGCTGAAAACTAAATTTTTATTTATAAGTGGCTGTGTTACAGACAACAATGGATATAGTTCACCTGTCGTAACAACAATCCCGTCACATTTGCTCGATAGTGGTGTAATACCACCAAATCATAGTACGTCACATCCGGTTGCATACGAGAAAAAATATTCCCTTGAATTTGACAGTTGTAGGAAATTAATCCTACATTTCATTGCAGTAAAAAAGTTATGAGTCACAAACATATATATTGGGTGTTTCACAGCATCATTCTTTTTTTATTAGGTGCTTCCATAGAATATTTTGAGGTTACGGTTACATGGTTACTAAAGCTTGTAAACAGGATATAAAGGAGTGGACATTTGATTGCTTAACTTCCAATGATGGTTATTATCTTATATGCAATGAAATGTTATATGAAATTTTGTCTGTAGTACTGGACAGGATAAAACTTTACTCATGCCAAGTATTTCTTTATTGGAAACAAAGATAAATTCTGCACAATTTTTTGAAAAGACTAATAGAGGAAAACCAATGGTGGTATTACACCTATTATGGAAAGCTGCACATGCACCTTTGACCTTGTATGTACTCTCATTTGTTACAATTTCATGCTATTTCAGTGAAATATTGCAAAAATGAAATATTCTGAGTGGATTGAGTCTCAAAACCACATTTTAAGAGAAAATTGTCTTGAAATAGGACTATACCATGAATATTAGTAGACAGAGCAAGCCATACATGTTTTGGGGAGCTTTTTCTGACTTTTTCTCCTTATTTCTTATATTTTACTATAATAGAAAACCATTTCCGCAGTAATACTTTAATAAATATACAGTTATAAGTAAATGAAATTATTTTTGAAGCAGTAACAACAAATTTTTCACTAAAAGGGAAGCAGTTATTGTCCCTCTCTGGAGCGCGGCGTGAATTAAAGTTTTACGTAAGGACTTATTGAAACCTCCATGGAGTCAGTCACCTTTTATACGGATAGTTCATTAAGCTTGACTACTTACTCATTTATTATCACATTTCTTGCATAGATGTGTGAAAGTTACCCCAAAATTTTGATTTATTGGCCTAAAAAGTTGAAATTTTTAAGAAATGAGAGGTATAAATGGACCAAAAGGGACCTTATAATGAAGACAAAGAGGTCCATTAATGCTATTTATCATCCAAGAATCACCTTTTGTATCATATTCAACTGTTTGTAGGCAGATGAGATAAATATTTGGCCATTTATTTGTCCACACTATATTTTATCATGTTGCTGCTCGGTTTGGATTTTTCGAAGAAATTTTCCTCGAATCGCTGAAGATGTCGTCTTACATTATATTAGATTTTTCTCAAACTACTGAACTGATTATGACAAACTTGACAGTAATGCTTGAAATAACCAGTATTACAAAGGAAAAAACTCACTCAGTTAATTCAACAAAAAAAGTCGTCTTTAGGTGTTATACCACCAAATCACAGTACGTCATATCCGGTTGCATACGGAAAAGGGTCGAAAAAATATTCCCTTGAATTTGACAGTTGTAGGAAATTAATCCTACATTTCATTGCAGTTAAAAATTTCTGAGTCATATTTTGGGTGTTTCAAAGCACCATCTTTTATCTATAAAAGTACACAGGACATGATAAAACTTTACTCATGCCAAGTATTTCTTTATTTGAAACAAATATTAATTCTGCTTAATTTTTTGAAAAGTGTAAATTTAAGAAAGACTAATAGGAGAAAAACAATGGTGGTATTACACTTAGTGATATCACCGATTGACTTCTTTCAAAATGCAAAAGATGTATATGTGTAAATCAATTTTATTTACGAATTCCGGTATCAAAGGTCTAGAACATGTGCTACTTTGTGTCACTTACTTTTAAATTTGACTTTATATCAAACTCACCAAGAACGTCCTTTTGGGGTACTATTGGCTGGTTTGTCCTTTCTGCCGATTTCTGATAATTCCCCCTGTTAAAACAAATATACCATATTACTTAATTAATTTTGAAAACCTATGAAGTCTTTTCACATTTACAAAAAAACATTTTCATTATCAACTAAAGCTGTTACCTTTACTAAACCGTATTTGTCGGTGAAACGAAATGAAACTTTAACAAACGTATTTGCAACACTCTATCAGAAGTTAACAAAACTTCAAATTTCATTCGAATTAGTTTAACCATTCAATCTTTACTATTTAAGTTCGCCTCGTCAAACAATTATACCATAGAAATTTCAATATTCATTTATCAACACATCTACGCAGACAAAACGAAAATTACTAAAATCAAGGAAGTCTTTATTTACATCTAAAGATTGACAGTGAAGTCGGTTGAAAAGAAAGCGACAAAAGAGATGATTTCAACTTCCCAAATGAAAACTTTCTTATCATATTTTTCTTGATAGCTATTTGTTGCTTATATGAAAGCTTTTAAACCGAGGGTTCCCAGTGGTAAAAGTTAAAGGTTTTGTGGAAGGTTGGCCGGCCGTTATGAAATATCATTGTAACACATCCCCTGACGCTCCTTCTGGAGTGCATGCGATTCCATCCGGTTTGGGTTGTTACCGTAACTTGTCACTTTCGTATCGATAAACGAGATTTGAATATCTGTAAACTATTTTCGCCAGAATGTTTACTTAACTTGAGCAACACAACGGAATTTACACGTAGGGTAGACTCAGCATACCGATCTGAAGCACACGAGATCATCTCTGTTGTTGAGGTGTTCGCGTTTCTAATAATTAAGTTTTCTATATAGAGTTTTGTAGACTGTTGTTTGTTATTTTGTTGTTCTGCGGGTCGAATAATTTTGTCTTGAATGTCCGTTTGGTATCTTTTACTTCTTTCTAGTCTGAAATGTATATAAAAATGCCGAAGGGAAATAACTTTAAAAAAACCGAATAGTAAGCCTTTACAAATGGTGTTTGTTTAATTTATAGTTAATAGGTCTACATATACGTGGAAACTGTATGTTTTTTCTTCATAACTGTACATCTTTGTTGAAGCTGTTATAATATTCCCAAAACACAAATAAACTTTAGCTTGTTCTTATGGTGTGCTGTTACACCACTGTCCCAGGCTAACGGGAGGGTTGGGCGCTCAAAAAAGGACCAAAAAGATGTGCAAGATACCAAAGGGACATTCAAACTCAAATGTTGAAATAAACCGATAACGTCTTGGTAAGAAACAAAAAAGCAAATTATAAACAACAGTTTACAAAACACAATATATAACAAAATTGAGACTGCGCAGCACAAACCGAACCAAAAAAAAGTGAGTGCTCCGGAAGGATAAGCAGATCCTGTGCTACTAGTAGCACCCGTCGTGTTGCTCATGCAAACTAAAACCCAATGATACGTCTAATTTGATCAGTCAATTTCGTTGAAAAGAGGATGGGATTGTGATAATGACATTTTGAACATATCCGTCGTCGTCTGTGTTATAATATAACGGTCAACCAACTGGTGATGGCATCCGTAAAATGTCAACATCACCACTCGGAAATCTTTGTTTAATAGCTTCGATGTTGGCAGCAACCCTCTATCACGAAAATCATGATAGGGAATGCAGTCTCCGGAATATCTTATCAACTTGGAGATATAAAGTCCACATGCAGGCGCTGCTGGAATGTTGCTATGTAGAAATGAAAAATTCACAATTTCGAAGCTGAAATCATCTTTGTTGTCGTAAAGTTATTCAACCTACAACTGTTGTTCTAGATGTCAGTCAAGATATGTTTTTTTTTTTACTGTATCCATGGTATCTGTTGTTTCCTTTATTTCAAGTTCGGTTGGATAGATGCGATCAACATAGTCACCAAACTCGAAATTGTATAGTTAGGGGACTTCAACTATGTAGTTGAAAGTGAAGTTAAAAGATAATGCTAGCTACTTTTTATTCTTCCAAAGACGCTCCTGTATTAAGTAATCCTCGTTTGAATAAAGGAACAAGTCGAAGGGGAACACAACTTGTTGCCATGGGAATGCCGATTTTTTGCTGAAAACCCTGTCCTCCAGACGCAACACATATGTTCTCAATCAAGAAATCAAATTAATAATATCAGTTACAGAGAATGATTTGTTTGAATTAGTATGCCTGTTTTACAAGACAGGTTGTGTATTTACTACGCTGTGTTTCTTTGACACCATCTAACGCAACTCGTTTGCTATTCCCGTGGTGGAGTGGCGAGTTGGATTTCAAGGAGCGTACTCTATGTATTTCTGGTAAATTTTTAAGTCAAGGATCTTGTTACCACAAAACAGTTAAAACTTAAATTATGCCATAGATATAAATATTTGTTTGGAGGTTTGGCTGTCCCTAGAAAAAAAAAATTTCAAACGGGATGGCACATCCTGATATTTACGGTGGTGTTGTTTACCGAGCTCGCAAATTTAGATATGCTCAGAGTTAACTTATTGGTCATTTTAATGTTTGTCTAATGCATGCCGGCTAACAAATTGGACCTCGTTATTTTAGTAGTATAGATATATATAAAGCGCCTAGAAAATGAACCTAAATTATTATATTTAAATGTACTTGTGTACTTTATTTTATTTATCGTCGTTTTGTCCCAGGTTAGAGCTGTCTATTTGACATTGTTCTACAACTTTTTTTTTTATTAATTTTGTATTTATATTGTGTCATAGATCAAACTCATTCGTTCAGTGTATGTTTACTTGTGTTTGTTTATATGTCTTTTTGATCGACTTAAGCCATTTCAATTGATATTTTATAGTGTGTCTTTTTATTTTGTATTGTTACTCTACTGTTTCAGGTTGTCCCCTGTTAAAACGTTTAATCCCGCTGCATTTGTATGCACTTGTCCCAAGTCAGAAACCTGTTTTTCAGTGGTTGTCGTTTGTTGACAGATGTGGTTCATAAGTGTTTCTCGTTTCTCGTTTTTTATATGGATTAAACCGTTGGTTTTCCTGTTTGAATTGTTTTACAATAGTAATTTTGGAGCCATTTATAGCTTACTGTTCGGGGTGAGCCAAGGCTCCGTGTTGAAGGCCGTACTTTGACCTATAATTGTTTTCTCTTTACATATTGTGACTTGGATGGAGAGTTGTCTCATTGGAACTCATACCACATCTTCTTATTTATACAGTTTAATTTTTAACCCTTCAGGACATCAATGTGGACCAATTTAAAACAGGGCCCAAAATCCAAAATCTAAATAAACGGTTAATTACATGTATTGACAACTTTAAATTATACCTTGTCTATCGGGTTCTTACGAATAAGAAATATCAGGCTATATAATATTTATAAAGTGCCTTGAAAATCAACTTAACAATGTCACAGGCGCTTGGGTATATGATACAGATATTTTTTTTGGATTTTTTTGTTGTTGATTAAAATATTCAATTTTCTATACATGTATCTATCGCTACTGCGCATGTCTCACCTAGTTTCGAGTGATTTTACCAACTCTGAGACAACCCCTATTCCAATATCTACACTAAGAAACTAAAAAAAAAATAAAAAACATTATCAGATCAAATGGTCCATGGCTTATTTTTTTAATTCTTTTCATTTTAAGACTAAAATTGTTACGAACAATACCAATTTGATAAATAGAAACGACGTATGAGATCAGACTGCGAGAAAGGCACGTTTTCCATAAAAATCGATGGGGAATCCAGGTAGGTCAATTTTATTATTTATTTATAGCACGCAAGATGGCGTCGAGTTAGTTGCCTTTTTATTTCTTAGTGTGGATAGTAAAATGGGGGTTGTCTCAGAGTTGGTAAAAACAAGGATATATAATCACAATACGTGAAGTATTTTAAGTGTACAAAAATGATCATCTTCTCATCTCTTCGGTATAATTACAGGATGCTAATCTATTTTTAGAAGCATACAATCACTATGAATTTATAATTAGATATGTCTGCCTATATGTAGTGACCTTGTCAATCGGATTTCTTACGATTAAGATCTACCACGCTTTAGAATATTTATAAATAACCTAGAAAAATCAACCTAACCATGTTAGAGTAGATCTGATTCTTTAATCCGACTCCTCCCCCCCCCTCCCCCCCCCCACCATCCCCCCGACCGAGGCTGGAACCTTCTTTATATATACATATCTTTATAAATCAATGAAACTGTATTATCTACGTAAAGCATCTTCATTCAATATTACTTTTGGTTGATAAACACATGTATTGACCAATATGAAAATACAATCCGCTAGAACTACACCACTTTACTTTGGTTCTTATTTGGGAATAATTTGTAATATTACCAGTTATAGCTTATCAATACTTGTATCATTACTTGTTTAAATTAAAAAGTTAACGTTTGAACATTACTTGCAAGTATTATCAAACAGGAAGTATTTTATACTTTGAATTACTAGACACATTACTCAGAATTACGAGAAACATTATTTGGAATTACTAAAACAATAATAAGTTTTACTTAAAACATTACTTGGAATTACTCAAAATATTACTTAGAATTACTGAAATCATTATTTGGAACTACTAAAAGCACTGCTTGCAATTTCTTGTATTGATTCTAAAATTAATTAAATTGAGAACTTAGAATTTTCATGCATTACTAAGTACATTGTAATGAATTACTAGTATGGCGTAGTCTTTACTAAACATTTATACCTTTGATCAATAATTTTGACAATTCATTTACTAAATGTGAGTATTTGAATGACTTTTTTTCACTTATTCAAAGTAATTTATTTTCTAGAGTGGGTTAAGTGTGTGGTTTGAAAATAGTAAGTTGAAAGTTCTGTGAAAATAGTAAAAAAATCCAATATCGAAATCGTGTACTTATGCTCCTTTGCCGTAGACGGCCTCGTTTGAATATTGAATAATACATAAACGGATAAAATAACCGACCTTTAACATCATACTTTGAGTGTAACATATCATAAATGAAATTAACACTTAAAAGGGACATTTTCATTTACCTGTACTGCATTTTGATAATATGGATAGGTGTTTTTTTACAACATATACCTGAACCGAAACATCAAGATTAATACAAAATGGCAAACAGTAGGTTAAAATACAATTAGATAAAAAAAAAAAATTAAACAAAGGCTTAATTTTTATCTTACGATTTGTTTGTTTTAAATTACCAGTAATGATAATTATTGATTTTCAACTTGTTCATGTTGTTACTTGGCATGAGGCCAGGCCGACGCACTTTGCATTTCTTGCCAACAATAACAGACAATACAAGTGTTATAATTAGTATACGCCTCAGTATTTTTTTTCTTTGTTTACTCTTATTCCATAAACAATATTATCTGTCAAGGTTAATAATACGAAAATTGATAAATGTGTTTTCTCAAATGTATGGCTGACCTGTATCCACACCACATAATGTATTTAATTGATATTTATAGACTATATATTATACGTTTGTGCAATTATTTGAGCAGTGCAATACAGCGTTTTAAAAGTGGTAAGGCATATCAAATAAAGCATTTTATATATAAAACAGATTTACCTTTTTTCGTCTGTTCACACAGAAACAACCATTGTATTCTATTTATAACAAAATATATCCAGGTAGTTTGTGTATGTCGGCAATCTAAATTTAAAGATATGCGTAACTAATAATGGACACTTTCAGAAAATGTCAGCATGCTCGTCTTGCACAAAAAAATTAAAAAAAAACATAATATTGTGTTTTCTTCACCATGAATACTTAAAGGGAATATGTCGCGCATTTCAAATATGTCATCCTAAATATTGATTTTATTTTGGTCACAGTTACAACCGGTGAAATATATAAGAGACACATTTTGCTGAACTTTGAACTGAAATTTGTTATTTTAGTTCAGATTTCCAAGGACGTCTGTTTTTTAGTTGAGGTGATTCAAATAAAAATATTTAGTTTTCGATTAATGAATGCAGTTGCGATGTCACCAAGTTAAACAACTCATGTGTTTCCATAAAGAATATCGAAAACAAAAAAATTGTACACAGTGCGCAATAAGTATGTTTTAGATAAGGGAGTGCGGAATAAGCAAAGAAGTACATGTATGATTCAAATAAGTGAAGGTTATATAGTGCAAACTATGTTTAACAAAATATAACTTAGTTTTTCTTTAAATTCCAAGCTTTACAAAACGTAAAAAAGATCAACACAAGACACGCACTGCTTAATCGCTTCCTCATGTTTCTTGAATAGTAAACGGATGAGTTACATATTGAAAAATCTTTTTAAACTAATAACAAGTATTGCTAGGAATAATGTATAAGTATCCCAGCTTGTGCGGTAACACGAGATAAAATGGAAAATCTTTGAAGATTGATTGATTGATTGTTAGTGTTTAACGCCACTTTCAGCACTATTTACTATAGAAGGAGAAGAAGGTGTCTTATTTCCATCAAATGGGCCCACAAATAGCATCAATTGTATTACAATATAAGACATAATTTTAATCAACCAAAAAACACAATAAAAATTGGCGCCTTTTTTTTTTTTATTGGTGGAGGAAGCAAACAACCGACCTTCGATAGGAAACCGACTGGCAATCATAGTAAATAAGGACCGGAGTGGAAGGCCCTTGCTACGAGCGTGGTTCATCGAATTAACAACGTCAATGTTGACAGGCTAGTGATTACTGTAGATAAACTTCTTAGATCGCTCGGCAAACGAGGCCTCGGAAATTCTTTAAACAGAAAAATAAAAAGATGTGGTAAGATTGCCAATGCGAAAACTCTCTACCAGAGACTAAATGCCATAGAAGTTAACAATTATAGGTCACCTTGGTATAGTTGAAAAATAAATTTCGAATTTGATTTATTGCAGTTGTACCCAAATTTTTGTTAATTTATCATAAGTAAAAAACTATCAACATTTTAATTGATACTAATATTATACTTGTTTGATGTAAGTAATATTTGAATTCTTACTTAAAGTTTGGTCTTCGGAATATTTTAGTAAATATGTATTATTTTTGTTGTTGAGTTGCTGTCTCATTGAGATGTACCCAAATCACGTTTTATGAAAAAAAAATGTTATATGAAAAAGAGGAACGCATTTTACCAAGGTGAAATAAAAAAAACATATTGTAAATTCATATGTTAGGTATTCTTTTATTAAAATAGATACGTTACTAAAACACCACAATGCAAGCATACGTTGTCTATATAGTTTACATTAAATTAGAGATGCTGTGACATTTTGGTAGACCACCAAGGGACCGCTTTATTTTGATGATTTGTGCATAAATCCTTATTTTAATAATATCGAAATGTTCCTTTTGCAAAGGAATTTGATGTAATAATTATCTTTTTCAAACAACTGATGTTGTTTTCACTCTTTTTTGAAGATTTGTAACAACTTGTCCCTAATAATTCAAAGAAATAATGAAGACGCTAACATTGTGACATTTTGGTAGACACCCTTTCAACGCATTGATATTCGATACTAATCGAAAAAAATATAATTGAATGCATAGAATATTTTTTGTTTTATTTGGAGTTTATTATACTGGCTTTATTTCTCCGTTCTAAAATGCATAACATATCTTTTTTCATTGTTTTCTGTAACCCACTCCGGAATTACTAAAGTAAAACGGTGGTCAAAAGTTTTGAGACGGGAGACCTTTTGGAATTTTTCCTTAGTATTTTTTTGTTTAATGCTAAAAATGAGATCGCTGTCCGCATAAATGCCGTTCAAATGTTATAGATTAGGAGGCATGTTACATTTTCTGACTCCATGAAATGTTTTGCAAAGTTTTACTGAATATTGATAATTTCTTTATAGAACAGTTTTTTTTAAACGTTGTTGTGACAATGCACTTAATTTGGGCTAGGTTTTTTGGTAATGATGTCGAAGTTTTCATGGGATTAGGTCTTTTACATTGGATTTCTTTGCTTTCAATGGGTTTTCCAAACTTTTTTTATAAAATGATATGCGCTATCATCAATTTTATAACATAATACTCTCGCTATACATGGATTCTGAACTGTTGTGCCGTAAGGCAGTGATATTTTTCCCTGGTGTTTGCAATCAGTAATGGCTTCTTTAGAGGTCTACTCGGTGCGAAAATTGCGTTAGTTACGTCTAACATACATGTCATCCCAAAGCCCTAACTTTCCTCTTCCAAATGGTATAGCATTGTTATATTTTATATACTTATAAGTACCCAAAAATAGGAGGAATACTCGAAAAAAAAACATTAGTATGTTACCTGTCAACACGAAAAATATTAGATTTTTCTCGTTTGTATTCGGACAACAGAATAAAAAACGACAAGCCATCTGTAATTTACATTTTTACCTGCTTTAAAGATGGTTTACACAAAATGACACTTGATCTTTCCGGTATTTTTCTTATTTAAGCTGATTTTCCATGAAAATGAAAACCAGTGTTCCAGTTTATGAAAACACAGCAGTCACTTGTGAGAGTGATTCATTAAAGAAAATATGAAAATAAGATAAATGGAAAAAACATTGATTTCCTAAATGTCTATATGATTTTTTTAAATTTATTTTGATAAATAAGGTGTGTGTACATATAGCTTTTCATGTTATTTATATACGGGTATAACCGTTTATCTCACGATAAGATTTAAAAGGTTTGGGGCAACAAAGTTATTTCGGATGCGAGGATGTTTTTTTTTTCAAATTAAAAAAAAACGGCTTATCCCTAGAGGCGTTCACTCCAAGATCTATTTTACCTCTTTTTTACGCTTGACTTTTTACCTTTAATTTGACCCAAAATAAGTTTTCAAAAATATTTATTGCCTCTCCCATCCCAACAAAAATACACTAAGTACAGATCTGAGATTACTTGTAGTCAATAGAATATGTCTAAAACTCAGAATGGTTTAAAAGAACCCTGCATGTCTGTTTTTTTTTTCATGTAAAAGACATTTCTAAAGGAAGTGCACAGCCGCTAGTCCATAATTAGTGAATAAATAAACGCCCCCTCTTTTCGTTACGGCAAATTGCGTCAAGTTAGGGCGATTTTCGTTCGTTCGTAAGATGTTGAGAAACCTCTAGTGAGCGAATAATAAATAGAATTAACCTGACGATAAACATATTAAAAGCAAGACAACACCCTCTAGCACTTGGCAGAACTATTTTCAATATCGGCTATTGGCATTTTACTTTATTGGTTAAGAATTTCCCGATCATGCACTGCTGCATATTTGATTCAATGTTAAAAACGATTGACAAAATTCTAATCCAAATAATTCACCTGTCAGTTGATAAAAAATATGATATAAACATTATATCGTTAACAAATTTTGAACAGCATATTTGAGGAAGCGCAAACCAGATAAACATGGTTTTAGATTCAGACAAATTGACGAAAATTTAAAAATTCCGACAAAAGACACGTCATTATTACATTTGGTTGACACATTCAACAATATCTACCGTTATCTTGATATTTTTTCGTTAAATAATCCAGAGTTCTCTAAATATACTACCGACATTTACCCAAAGGATCTTACTTTAAATAAATCTAACATAAACAGCAGTAGTTGTCCTTTTCTATATTTAGACATTTCAATTTCTAAATGGAAACTCCATACTAAAATTTACGACAAAACAGACGATTTTTCATTCCCTATTGTTAATTTTCCTTTTTTAGACGGCGATGTTCCTTTGGCTCCATCATACGGTGTTTATATATCCCAACTCGTTCGATATGCCCGTGTGTGTAGTGATGTTATAGATTTTATCGAACGTAATCAATGCATCACTGGTAAATTATTAAGTCAGGGATTTCGTTACCATAAATTACTTGAAACATTTACTAAATTCTTTCATAGATACAAAGATTTGATTAGCAAATTTGGCTGTACCTGTAGAAAACTTATTAAAAACAGTATTTCACATCCTAAATTTTACTGTAATATTGAACTAAAAGCGCGGAAATTACTCTGTGATCCGTGTAAACTCATCGAAACTTTAAACAAACTTATTAGTAAAGTTTATTTTATGAATGTTGTAATAAGATCTTTAAATATTGTTTACATTGGCACTAACATCGATTTTGTCATCAACAAATTAAAACGACGACATTTGTATTCTTTTCGAATGGTTTTTGGGATTTATAAATACACATCCACGTTTATTTTCTATTTAGAGATTGTTTTATTCATATACAACATGATACATATTTACTATAAGGTTAAATCCTAACGATCCTACTGCCTGTCGATACTTTTATTTTGGCATTGCACAAGTAATATCTTCTTTGACTGTCCATGGCGTTAACACACTAAATCCCTGGGGTGAGTTTTAATTGGTTTAGTCTCTGATGCATGATTTTTTTTATTGTTAAAGGGGCATTAGCTGTCAAATTCGTGTTCATCGATTTGACTCAAATTCTCATATTTGATTTATAACATCCAAATTATAAAAGTCTAAAATAAACAATGTACAATGCATGGGATCGATAATATGTATCAGCATTTCTTTGGTATTTTAGTCTAGACGCCATCTAACTAATCGTCGAAGGGACATCCGAAGACTTCCGACGGTAATATAACCCGATATAAACATAAATATAGATATAAATAGATAGCGAACTCGTGCAATTGGATTTTTCTATGTCTGTTTGATTTCATACTATAGATTAAAAATGTATGTTAATCATCGTGTTTACCTGTATAAGAAAGAGTTTTTGTCGATCAAAATCAGTCAATCAAATGGTTTACCCTTGTTTCACTTTCAAAGTTGATATTCTTTTCCTTTTAATAACTGAACACGCCTTATTCATGCGTAATCCATATCTAGCTAAGGGGTTAAATCGAAAGTAACATGAATACGGATTCAATGAGGTCGAGTTATTTACTTGCAAGTGAATAATTCATCAGCGATGTTTTTGAGCTTATTTTGACAAAATTGACTTAAACTGGCATCTTAAAGTGAATTATTATTTCACTATTTCACGTTCATTAATGATTGAACAAAACAAAATCATATCTTAATTTTTTTTATATCTCGTAGCTAATGCCCCCTTAATTGTTTTTGGCTTTTAACTAGCTTTCAGTAACTGCGAGTACTCTCAAATCGTACTTTCGTGTTAATTTGACCTGTTGACACAATTTGTAATGCATTTCTCTAATTCAATGTTTACTTATTTTGTGTTATATCTCGTCTCACTATTTTTAATATGTACCCCCTTTGATAAGTATTTAGAATGACGATAAATTTTCACTTCTATACTCGTATTCTGAACAACAAATTTCGAGCTGATAACCTAGCAGATGTTGTTTCATTTTCTAGTGATGTATTAACTCCACAAAAACATCGAATGTGAGAAATGCTATTAAAAGACAGCCTCGCTCATTAAGATTGTTAATTGTCTGTGAATTTAATTTTTTAATATATTACTTCCAGTAACATTGCGTACTTTCATATTAGAACGTTCTGTCTTTTGCGTTTTTCGAAGTTGCTTTTTGTTTCTTGTTGATCTTATAATCTAAGCCCTTTCCAAATGATTTTAACACTTTGATTTGTGGTGGTGCTGTCACATCACTGATTAACTTTAAGGGACAGATGAAATCCATAAACATATTTTACCACGCATAAGTCTTTTAAGCCAGGAACTTGTAATTTAGTTGTACCCTGGTTTCTTTATACAATATTTGCCTGTCGTATATTGTTTTCATCAAAACAAAAGCGGCGCTGGTTTTCTCGTTTATATAATTTCACATTATGTCATTACGATGCTTTGTAAAGCTTTCGGTATGAGATTTGCTCATGGTTAAAAACCGTTGACCTATAGGTGTTTTCATTTATGCCCAAATGGAAAAAATTAACTGTTGAAATATAGATACACTGTAAAAGAGAGGCGAAAGATACTAGAGGGACAATCAAACTCATAAGTCGAAAATAAACTGACAACGCCATGGCTAAAAAAGAAAAGAACAACAGACAAACGAAAGTACACAAAACACAACATAGAAAACTAAGGACTGAGCAAGACTCAGTAAGACTCAGCAAAAATGTAAGTTTTGGATGAATATAGATAACCAATTTTATTTGCTAATTGAAAATTAAGCTGAATAAAATAATTTAAGACAGCAGAGAAGATAATTCTGTTTTAATTGTTTATTACTAAGATTTAAATAAAGAGTGAGCTATTTAAACTGTAAATTTATGATGTCTCTAGTCTGGTCATAGGGTCAGAGTGTCCTACTTAACCAAACGATAAATTGTTGAAATTAGATAACATGTTTCCACGTGCAGAGAAATTTCACTTATGACCAGTGCATGATTGGATTACATCTTTCTTATTGGTCAATGATCTTGCGGGGTCAGCACGAGTTCACGTGTAAGTGCGTTGTGGTCACTTTCTTTTATCATCAGTATTTGATGTGTTAACTTGTGATTCTTATCAAACAATTTGTTAAAAATTTTAATTTTATGGATAATTTTGGACTGGAGTGATTTCCTTTTAGCATTTTAAGGTAAAATCGAACTATACTTTTATTTTTTAGCTATTTTATGCTTACATTCTGAACAAACGTACAGTTATAATTTTTTACCATTCTTCCATTCGGATAGATCTCACGATTTTGATTAAAGCAAAACATGTAGCAGTTAATTGGTCAAATTCATTTATTTGTCAAAGAGATAGTGGGTCAAATTAATTTTGGTGTTAGTGGCGACACTGTGCGTTTGCGATCAAAATGTAATTATTTACCATACTTATAAAAATGATAGCTGATGATTAATCCGATATAATTTGTAATTTTACAAGTTACTGAATCCTTACTAGCATCCTAATGTTTGCAGAACGTATATCCGCCTTGTGTATCTGTAGGAGACATGGTTCATTTAAATTTAACTACAAATACAAAATTTTTTGCATAACGATAATAATACCATACATGATAGAATGCAAAGTTACACACTTATATACGATGTTATTCACGATTCCATACATTTAAACACTCTCATATGAAAGAGCAAGACAGTTTAAGTTTTAAGGCTATGCTATTATTTATTGGGCTACAAACCCATTTGCCTTACTTGTTTGGGTAAGGTGGACGATATTTCAATTGGTGCAGAGAGCTTGGTTGCTTGTACTTATGACCCCTGTGTATTTCCTTTTGCAATTATGTTTTATTTAGTGTTCATTATAGGATTAAACACATTTTTTCTAGAGGTTATTGATGTGTAAACCGGGGCGATTAACTCACAAACTGAATAAAAGTCCGAAGGACTTTTATGTTAAGTTTGTGAGTAAGAGCCCCGGTTTACACATCAATAACCTCTAGAAAAAATGTGTTTAATCCTTATAATTCTTCAGTCAAACATTCGCGATTTTTTGTTAAGATTTTTTGTTTGATGGCTACTACCATCAAATGCACATGTCGTAACTAAGGAGTTAGTCGCCATATTGAATTTCTAATATCCGTAAATGTTCGATAAATGCAACAGAATCTAAAATGAAATAGCACCTACCTCAAAAACTGCATTTTAATGAGATATTATCCGAATTTGAAGCGTACAAGTAACGAAATAATCTTTCGCTTGAAAGTTTTCATTTGTATGACGTCGTGTTTTGCCATGACGTACATGCGCTAAATCATTCATGAAATTTCGCGGAATTTTTCATGAATTTTAATTTTATGCATTTTCAGAGCTTTAATGCAATATTTTTTTTTTGTTACATATGCATTAAAATAGAAAAAAACTGTTATGTTTTTGTTTTTCAATCTCAATTTGCTGAAAATCCCGGACTCCCTGCATATGCATGTGTATCGCGCATGAATAGATGGCACGAAAGTAGTTTCGGAAACATGGTTTATCGAAGTGTAAACCAAGGTAAAAAATTCTAATTAACCAATCCGTTTCAAGTATTTATAGATATGCAAATCATATAAGAATTATTGTTTTATGCTATGTCACGAGACTCATGCTACTTTCGTTAATCTCGTCACGGTGGTTTGTTTGGAGCTTATAATTTTGCAAGTTAGCCTAATCGCTATAATTGTTAGTATTTTAATTTATGCAGGTGTACCTTGTTTGCTTAATGTTAACGGTATAAAAAGGATATGTCTCTTACCTATATCGCAACCCAATGCTTATTTATTACGAACCAATTTACCTGTCTTTGCCTGTTTGGGTAATGTGGACGATATTTTAATTTTTGCAGAGGGCGAGGTTGCTTGTACTTATGCCCTCTGTGTATTGTTTTTGCAGAGGTCTAGTAGCTTGGTCTAGGACCTCTGTGTATTTACTTTTGCAAATATGTTATTATGTAGTAGGTATTGTTTTATGCTTCGTCATGAAACTCATGCTACTTTTGCAGAGGTCGTACCCAGTTAACACAAAAACTTTGTGTTTATGTTTTAAAAACATTTTGAAAAATGTTGTGAAAATATCGTAGAAAATATCAAAATCACGTTAAAATATATGGCGCTAAAAATATTTTCAAAACATTTTCCATAACATGTCCAGGATATTTTTAAAACATCATTAAAACGTTTCTGAATTTTGTTGACAATGTTTGTAAAATGTTTTGTAAATGTTTTAAATATGCATGTTTATAAAATATCCTTGAAACATTTTTAAAACATAAAAAAAAAATGTTTTTGCAGGATAAAATGTTGTGAAAATGTTCAAAAAACATTTTACAAAATGTTTTAATAATGTTCATATTCTCAAAACATCATTTAAATGTTGTATGAATATCATTAGAAAAATGTTTTCTTAAATCCTCATTCAAATGTTTTATAAAATATTCAAAAAACATTTTAATCATGTTTGATCTGGGGGTTGGGAGGGGGAGGGGGTCCTGGGACCCTTATGGAGCTACAATTATGGTTAATCTAATTCCTACTATTTCACTCAAAATTTGTCTAGTTTAGAGCCTGTGGCCCCTCTTTTCATAATCCTGGATCTGCATCTGAAAAACAACTGCTGTCATACTGATATTTACCCCACATCTCCTTTTACAATTGTTTGTTGATTACAGTTGAATCTACATATATTTTGTTTACTTTTGTCGGATTTATGTATCATTGACATAACCCTATTTTTTGTAATACCTTGAACACGTAATAATTTGTCATGTTTTTTTTCTGATTTTAATCTTAGTGCATTTTTTTGAGAAGTATTTTCTTTCTGAAGTTTTTTTACTGTTTTCTTTGCTGCCTTAGTCAACACTATACAAGATAGAATTACAATTATAAATGCAAAACATGTATTCAATATTTTCGTATCACTGTTCTTTTTCAAAGTTTCTTTTGTTCCATTCTTTTTATTTCTTTTGACATCTGCTGGCTTCTGTAAAATAAAGTGTAAACAAATTAGTCCTTCTGTTTAGTGATTAAACGAGTGGAAATTCAGCTACTTTCATTGAATTACACAATAAACTATTTTTCTTCAATTTAATCCAGTGTTTTCACAAAAATATATTGAAAAGTGTCATCTAATCAGTGTTAAAGGATTCAGAAGCAACAATTGTAGCTACTTTATACATCTGTAGAGTTTGGGGTGTATTATTATTACAAAAGTGTAACGGTAGATTTCACCAGTTTATAAAATATGACATGTATACTGTACACTACAATTTTCTCAACTTAAGAGTAGCCAGCCGTGTAGGGCCTGTAACATTTTCTTGGTCTTACAAAAAAAAAAAAACCAAGTTTCTTAATGGTTATTGTATATTTTAGCGCAAATACATGTACTATAGATTGAGGATTTTAAAGAATAAATACCTTCATAAAATTTGCTCCTCCAGGATGGTTTGAATAATTTCTAAGCTTATATTCTTCTATATAATCCCCATTTCCATTCTCAATTTTAATCTGCATTTCTGAAAATCTATCCTAAATTTTGGTACGTCTAATCATGCTAATTGATCCTACAAAAGTTAAAGTAAACAAAATAAATAAAATACAGGTAAGAAAAAGTCACATTGTATTAGTCAGCTACAAAGGCCACAACATTCAAAAATAAACAGCTGCGCCATGAGCGCATGATACGCCCATCGCATTTTTCGAAGAAAAAAGTTCAATCATTTCTCAATGTCAAATCAGAAATTCATGAAAATTGAAAGGGAGCTTAAGTCAATAGATATAAACTATTCACCAAAGTTTAAAGAGAACTACTGAAAGCGTTTTTGAGTTATTGTCCGAAAACTAGAAAATCCTATCTATTTTTAATGAATAAAACTCCAGAACTCGGAAACGTAAAATCTAAAATTTAAAAAGTTTTATTCAAATTGGTTAAAGCATTTATGAGTTAATGTCCGACATGTTGACGACAGACATACGGACAACGGTATACCATAATACGTCCCGTAAACGGGCGTATAATTAAAGACAATTCAAACAATAAAACTAATGGCATAATTTATAAAACAAATATGTCAGAAATGAACTGACAACTACTAAATCAAACTTCTGTCTTAGGACCGGCACATAAATAATTATCTGGCCTTGGGCTGGGCTGTAGGGCTAAACACAAATGTACAAGTTACATAAACAATATATTTATATAGCACAGGGGCGCGTATCCTAGATATTTTGGGGCGGAAATATATGCCAGTCGACTGATATGCGTTATATATTGTGTGTTTATAGCTAACCATTGCGTGTTTGAGATTCCCTTGACTAGTAGATACTTAGCCAGCGATTGAGCTAAGGAAGTACTGCTTAAATAGCTCAGTCTGTTAAAGCCAACAAAGCGTCAAAGGGCGGACTTGTAACACAGAACTTTTCAGACATGCTCACTGGTTACAAGTGAATACATTTATGAATTTTAAAATCATATAAATAACCCTTAAGTTTAACCCCTTTTCTATAATTCGTAATGTTCACTGGACATAAACATCATAACATCTAGGTAGACTAAATCATCTTCCCCCTTTTTGCATTGTGCTTGCTTACACTCGTATTAATTCTTGGAATATATTAATCAAATTAACCAAGATATTTCCAGAAGCATAACAATGTTTTATAAATGTGAACTAGTGTCATATCTTACCAGTTTTAACGCATGATAAGGTTATTCTTTATTTTGTACGTTTCCTTTGTCTTTGTTTACAGCATGGTAAATAAAACTTCCGGTTACTGGTTTCCAAAATTGCTTCGGATCATGTTCGTTGGTCATCGGGAACAGTTAGATTTTAAATGTGTAAACTTTTGTTGTCGGTACTGGAACAGAAAATCCGGAAAATAGCAATACGTGCACTGTAAAAGGCTATATATGGGAAGTACCGCTTCAATCACTGTCATTTGATGAAATAAAGTTTTTCTTCCATAACCTAAATTAATGTTTGCAAAATATTGTTTAAACATTTTCTATTAAATGTTTTTAGGTAAATGTATTCATAATATTTTTTTTAAAATGTTGTTAAAATATTAGTAACAAAATGTTTTATAAATTCATTTTCTCAATATTAAATGCGTAACGTTTTTTAAATGTTTTTGGGTAAATGTATTCATAATATTATTTTAAAATGTTGTTAAAATATTAGTAACAAAATGTTTTATAAATTCATTTTCTCAATATTAAATGCGTAACGTTTTTAAAATGTTTTCATCAAATATTATGAAGAAATGTTGTTAAAATATCTTAAAGGCATGTTATTAAAACATTTCATGAAACATTTTTAGAAAATGTTTTTAAAACATCGCAGCAATATTGTTAAGAATGTTTTACTCATATGCTTTTAAAATGTTTTTCAGAGGTAGAACGTACATATCTTCTGAACATTTATAAAACATTCAAACAAAATATCTTAAAAAATGTCATTGAAAACATTTTCATTAATATTCTTACATCATTGTAAAAACATTTTCAAAAAATGTTTTAAATAAATGTTTTTAAAATACAAGAAAAAATATCTACATAACATCACGAAAATATTTTTTCGACAACATTTGGGACGACATTTATACAACCTTATAAAAATGTTGTGAAAATGTTTTGTGCTACCTGGGTAGTAGCTTGGTCTATGACATCTGTGTATTTGCTTTTGTAAATATGTTAGTATGTTGTGGGTATTGTTTTATGCTTCGTCATGAAACTCATGCTACTTTTTTTGCAGAGGTCGTAGTAGCTTGGTTTATGATCTCTGTATTGTTTTATGCTTCGTCATGAAACTCGTGCTACTTTTAATTATTATTTCGTCATGGTGATTGGTTTGGAATAAACTATTTGTGTAATCAATCCTTTTGCTACATACAAAATTGCGATTATTTTGAGACATGTCAGTCCGGGATGCGGTTCGATAAAATTGCTCCCCTTGTTTATTTCGCTCTCCTGTCAAATCATGTAATTTCGCTACCTCCAATGGTAGACGCGACAACGATGGGTGTCGTCAGGACAGGTACGAATAAAGGAATCATTTAGGAATTAGACGATCCTCATTGGTATAGGTGAGTTGTTTAATATTTGTTGCTTCAGGATAAATGCATGTTTTAGATTAATTCATAATCAGGAATAGCTGGAAGGGAAAGAAACGTGTTGCTACGAGAACCCGGAAACCGATGATAGAAATTTTTTTTAAAATCTAGAGACGATCGTTCTGAGTGTGCCACCTACACATTCAAACATGTACACAACCACAGTTTCCCCTATCCATCTAATGTGTTTTCATAATTATGTGATTTAGGGCAAAAAAAGGTAGCAGTTTTTTGTGTCTTGTTGTTAAGCATTTCCAGGGGAGATAATGTTATTTTTTACGGGTGTGTTTGATAGGTTTGTTACACTGTAACATTATATAATACACACTCATAAAGTTGATAGAAAGCGCCTCTCACACGCAATTAACTCAATTTCAATTATTCTATTTACCGGGTTATATATTGAAGTCCTATAATATAAGATTTCGGAGGTTCGTATCATTTACATTCAACGTTTTTTGTCGGATTTTTTTTTACTTTCAATGTTGCACGGTTGATAGTAAAAAAAAATCCGATAAAAACGTTGAATATAAATGATATGAGCCTCGGAAGTCTTATATATAGTCCTATAATATAAGACCTCTGAGGTTAATTCATATCATTTATTAGTACATTCAACGTTTTTATCGGATTTTTTTTACTATCAATGTTGAACGGTTCAACATTGATAGTAAAAAAAATCCGATAAAAACGTTGAATGTAAATGATATGAACCTCCGAAGTCTTACATTATAGGACTACTGGTTATTGGTTCTTTAAATTATCCTAACTAAATGTTTTTGTGGTCTATATTACAAAAAAAGGGGGGGGGGAGCTTTAAAAACACCGAAATACCTTAACAATCCAACAATACCTGTTTACAGAAAAAGAGAGATATTTCGTATTTTAAACCTAACTTTTCTCACATATTTGTTAGATATGTTGAAAATATAGCCAAATGTTAAATACATATATCCATCCCCTCTTTTTCAATTCATTAATTAAACAGACAGCTTTTAAGAAAAGGCAATAACCGAACATTGATAATTTAGCAATGAATTCAGTATATTTTCCCAACAAGTAAAGACCAAAGGAAACATTTGATATGATTTGAAAACATGGTCAATTAAGTAGGATCTTGTGGTTTCGTAGACATTAATGATAATTCAGCATTTTCTTTTTATATTTTTCTTTATTTCATATACTAGTATATATCATAACATGTATATATTTTGTGATGCATCTGATGTATAAATCCAGTGGCAGATCCGGGGAAGAGTCCTGTGTTCAGATCCGTTTGTATGGGGAACATGTGGTTGGAACCCCCGCTTTAATTGCTTGTTTGATTTTTTTTTTGCAGTGTCGAAAATGATGATAGACAGTAGTTTTATCAAGAAGTTATGGAGATTGTTCCCGAATAGATTCCTTAACATCACAGTGTAAAAGAGACTTATGAGCCTCGTCTAGTGCAAGCAACTGACATGCCCTACCTGTTACGCTGACGGAAAAGCCCCCACTTTGAAAGCACGTTTAAATGTTGTCTGGAAGTTCTGCTATACATCTGACAGTCAGATGTCTTGGAATTATTCTGAAGTACATATGCCGACCAAAGGCAGGGAACAGAGGGGAGAGGTTTTAAAGTGATGCTGATCTGAGATTCCAATTTGAACTATAGAAAGCAATATAAAGATATGTAGGAGAAATAATCTATATGAATAAAATTATCCCACAATAGGAACTGTCTTTTTTTCCCATACAGAATTTGTCAAATTTATCCATAACAGAAGGGATGTTAATGTATAATTCTTCATATATTTGTAATACTGATGGTAATTCAGATGCACAGTTGTTTTTCTTCTGCTTCATATATTTATTAACACAAGCTATATTTTTGTGTGATATAATTGATGAGATGATATAGCAGTGCCATTGGTTTCCCCTCTCTCTTTGTTCAAAGAACTTGATCATCTGAACTCTTTTTTTTCAGATTGGAGATCTGTTCAAGAACAGTTAAAAGAACATATGCTTAATTTTCGTTATTTTTTTAAGACCAGCTTCATGATCAAAATAAATTTTAAACAAAACAGGCTGTACATTCTATAAAATATGCCAGTCAACCGGAAATGTTAACACACAAACAAGGTCATCAGTATATTCATTTTTAAACTTACAAAATATGTCGAAGGTTTTAGCATCCCCAACAATTACCATGTGACTTGAATTTTTGATTTGTCAACATCAAGCAAATTGTCGATATTTTCCAAAACATGATAATAGTTCCGTTTTTATTATCAACAACAAAGGACTTACTCTTATATAAAACTGTAACAGGTTATCAAAGACTGTCTACAAGTACAATTTTAATCCAAGCCGCTGTTCTTTTAAGCACCGTGTTAGCGACGGCTTGGTTGATTATAAGGGTTGGGTGCAGAGACTGAAATATTTGTCTTTAAATAATCAGACTTGAGACAATAACATGGAGGTAAGTATGTGTAAGGACAACGTTTTCAAGGTTGGTTTGAACAGTGCGAAGGTCGTCTAGGAATGTAGAAAAAAGATAATGAAAGTCTTTGTGCTGGTTATTTACATAAGGGAACGACCATTTAACTTCAAAAGGTGAAAAAGGGGGAGGGGTAAGATTTATTTCAAAAAAAATATCGTCTGATCCCCAATTCGATGGAAAAAATATTATTGTCAGGCAAAATTTATAACCAAAATATATTATGAATTCTGATTTCCCCATACCTTATAGTGTTAAATTTTGAAAAATAAAATATTTGATTGATGGAGGCGGAAAAAAAATGTTCGAGCTCAGACAAGAAAACCATACCCCCCTTTGAAATTAAATGGTTGCTTCCTTGTTGAGGGATTGTTTCCTAGCTTGCTTTGATAGAGTATTGTTGCATGTTTCACAGATGTTGCTTTCTTTTGATAATTAAAAATGGTCTTCCTCTTGATTGCAAGCAAATGATTAGTATAACGTCTAAGTCGGGAATTTGACGAAGATCGCGTTGGCGGGCAATTTTCTCAGACCAATGTGGCATACTACATGTTATTGACAAGAAATGTATCGTGTCCCGCGATCGTTTACAACGCGATTCGCAAAGAAAAACTTTGGTTGGATTAGTTGGCGACTCAATAATATGTTCCTCCATAACTTCCAAAAACGTTGACATATAAAGTATTTCAAGGTTATGTTGTCCGATGTTTACACATTACTGACGGATGTCTGTTTTTTTTTTGTCTCTTACATGGTGGCTTTCCTGAAATAATTTCGCCATTTTTATATTGCATACATTGCAGATACAATCATCCGACCGTATGTTAAACATACTGTTAGACCAAATTGAAGATAATCTGAGGGTTTGCATGAGTTATGGTAACACCGCCAATAATTGATTGACTAACATTTCACGCACAGTAGGCATTTGTGTTTAGATTTGAAGTTCATCATACTTTGGGTTAATATGTAAAAGATTTTTGTTGACTACTTTATGAAACACAAATGCAATTTCAAGAATTGATTTTTAAATTATCCTTAAAATAATCTTTTCAAAAACAATACTAATTATGGGGCACTAGTAGCGACAATGTTAGCTGTAAATAGGACCCCAAAAGTTTGAACAAGAATGAAAACACACTAGAGTAATATATACGTATGTGTAGTACATGAAATATGAAGACACTCGTGTACTACTAGTAGTTGTAATAGTCAGCATGTATTAGAAAAACTGAAAGTAAAGCGAGCCACCGTATAAGGTAAAAACTAATATTAGTGAGTCCTTATGCAAAGAACTTTAATATTCTTGAATCTGTTTCTGAGTTGTGAAGAACTAACATACAACTAACAGTAGGACAGTTATTTAAGTAAAGTACTATAATACAATCGAGTCCTTATGCGAAGAACTACAATAAAATTTAGTCTAATGTAA